CTGCAACATTTATTCCCCAAGTGTGCTATAACTGGTAAACTGAGACATAGAAAACACAGTGGCCACATCAGGCTCACACAGGACTAATGTGACAGTTGTGAAGCAGTAACTATTTGTCTCCAGACACGTATCCATTGTCTCCTGAAGCCTTCTCAGGTGTCTGTGAAGCAAGGAGGAGCTGATGTTAATCTTGGTCATAAGCAGCTTGAGGGGATATCTTGTGCAGGAAGTGAAAAAAAGATAATGAGATTTGACTCTAAAACTAATCCATCTGCCTATGAAGAATTTCTGTAAAACTCCAGAACTCCATAACCCATATAAAGGACAGGAAATCCTGTGTTTTCTGGTGTGATGCTGTCACTTCTTGTATAATTTCTGTAGTATTCCAGGACTCCATAACTCATATACTGGATAGGAAATCATGTGTTTTCTGGTGTGCTACTGTCACCCCTCCTAGGGCTTTTTTTCTTCACTACCCAACCCCAGTACATTTTACATCTAACAGAGGGCTTGGTCTCTCTGAGTCACTGAATTCAAACAACTTTAGCATCTGTCATTCATCTCACTCTGTAATACTTTTTAAAGAAATAATCTCTACAGGGATTGGCTTCAGAACCTGGATATTAATGGCAATGTTCTCATATGGAGAAAGTTAGCATCCCATATCCATAGCTAAAATCTGCCAAACACACCTGTTCCACTACCCTGGGTTCTAGCAAGTTCTTGCTCTCTACCTTCTACAAGTCAAATCTGCCTCTGAAACTATCCACTTAGGAGAACTGGAGAGATTGGCTCTGGTTAAAAGTACTAGATTCTTTTGTAGAGACCCAAGTTCTGTTCCCAGAACACACTTGGCAGCACATAACCACTCTTTAACTCCATTACCAGGGTATCTAATACCCCCTCCTGACTTCTATGGGCACTAGTCATTATTTCTAGTGCACAGATACACATACAGTTAAAATAACTCTAAACATGCAGATATTAACAGAAAGAAAACAGTCACCTGCATTTCATGAAATATTTCTTCATGGTCATGTACAAGACAGAGCATTAAAGGACAATACAAATAATGGTCCTGTTTAAAGCTTACCTGTATCCCATTCTCTTCCCTCTACTAGATCATTCTGAGACTCATCTCAATCACCATTAAACAACTGAAAGGATTGGCCCATCTTATGGTCCAGCCTTGGGAGTTAGCTGAATACCTTGCCTGCTCCTGGTTTTCTGTGTGAGTTTTTTGTACACATCAAGTCTTGAGGACAGGCTGTGGATAGTTCACAGAGAAGAACAAGTTTATTCTGTCCAATCTCAAGGATACCACTGAAAAACAATGCCTTGGGGGGTGCTGTGACACAGCACTCTGGGAGGGGGCAACAGGCAGTGGATCAGTGAGGACCAGGGGAGATAATGAGGCTCTGACCCCAGCTCCTATTACTGTGTCATCAATGTCAGCAACTCAGATCCTATATGAGAAAGACTTTCTACCACATAGCACATGAGTAATCAACTCTAAACATTCAGCTCCTCCTGCTTCTGCCTCTGAGTGTTCCTGCCTGATTCTCTAAGAGAATGGATTTGGCGGAGATATTAAAAATATCAAAACTGATTGAAAGACAACTTTGCAAGGATTAGACGTCCCACAGGGAGCCATCTTCTCTCTGTTGTATACACAACACTGCTACCCAAGGCCAACATCACTGGTAACAATTCTAACCCCATTGATGGTGAGCACAGTAGCCTTAAAGAAAGAACCTAGACTCAAAATACAGCCTACTCATGGAGAATAAATGGTCACAGCTTCTCAAAAGGTGCCACACTGAAGCCATAAGAAGGCAACTGGACACTGTTTCTAAGGGCTTATCAGAATGACCAAACAATCTAAGCCTATTTCCCTGTCCTAGCCCAAAGTCATTTTCATGTCTGAAGCCTACTTCCTTGTTCTAGCAGAAAATTTAGATTCCTATCTAAAATTACCTCTTTGTTCTAGCCTAATATTTAGATTCCTGCCAGAAATTACTTCTTCGTTCTAGCCTAATGTCAGATTCCTGCCTGAAGCCTACTTCCTTGACCTTGGCCAATGTCATATTCCTGCCAAACAGCCCATTTTCTTCTCCTTGGCCCATGTCAGATTCTTGTCAAGCGGCCCCATAGGCTCTCCGATTCCCCCCCCTTTTTTATGTCGTTAACAAGACTGAGCCTGTCTTAGGTCATTCTGTCAAGAATGCTTTCCTTACCCATCATGGAATATGCATTGTCCAAAGCAATGTACTTCTGTCTTAGGTTGGTAAGGCTCTGTGCAGAATCTTACCTGTCCTTGGCTTGGCAGCCTGTTAATTTAATAATTCTGTCTGGGAGTCCATTTTCAGGTTCAAGGCATGTACTTTGGCTGCCAACATGTTGATGTTGTTAAAGACAAGTTTTAACATGATGGGCAGGGTATTCCCAGGACAAAAAGGGCTATCATGATCAAGCTATATATGCCATTCTTGAACCTTAACCAAAATAGAAATACTGACCTCAGGCCATGGGTAATTTTATCTGCAGTATCTACAACATCAACGCTCAGAAGAGCAGCATTCTTCAAATTCATACGCTCACTATGTATTGTTAAAACAGCCAGAGAGGTGTTGGAATTATGCCAAACACACTGTCAATGTCTTTAAACTTCATTCTAATTATAATGACTACCACTGTAAATTGTAGAACTAACATGAATCCAGTGCGATTTGGCATAACACTCAAGATGGCCCCTTACCCTTAAATTCTGAATCTCCTTCCAATAATTTGAATAGGATAAAGAGCATCAGTCCATTCTTCCAAATGCCTATTTAAAGTCTCTTGAATAGTCAACACATTAGTAGCATTTTTTGTTAAATGATTAACAAAAGTAGCTGTCTTAACTACTTGTGTAATTAATGTAATTAAAATTGTTGTACCAGCAATAATCAAAACCGCCACCCTCTTGCTTCAGTATGTTTATTGTCTTGCTTATTTCTTGACTATTTGAATCTATTGTGTTGCTATTCCCTCAACCTAGAACTGGCCTAAATACTTGCATGTAATTACAATAGTATAAAAGCAAAAAGGAGGAGGAGGATCCAATAAGGGGTTCTAGGGAGGGGAAATGGGGAAAGGGGATGATGTCTGAAATGTAAATAAATAAAATATCCAATAAAAAAGAAAACAAGAAGGCAACTGGAATGTCAATTTACTCAATGTCTTGACCTACACAGGACCCTATGAGAGAGAAACCTGCAATTTAGTAAGTCCTATCAATGTAACCCATTCAAACTGATGCAAGGGGGGCTAAGCCACTGTGGGCAGCATCATCCCTAGGCTACAGTCCTTGGTTGTATAAAGAGCTAGTTATGTATGAGTCAGCTAGTGAACCAGCCAGTGGAGTAGCCAGCAAACAACATGTTTCTGCCTTGATTTTCTCTGTTTCTAAAAGGTTACTTAGAGACAGAAGGTTAATGAACCCTTAACTCTCTCCTAAGCTGCTTTTGCTCATGGTGTGGGTTTTTTTCAATCACAACAAGACAAAGTCTACAACAGTGTATAGGGAAAAGCAGAGGACATATTTGAATGAATGTTCTCTGTACTCAAGAGCAGACCCATGCAGAACCTTGCTGGCAAAGAGAAGAAAGGATTTAGACACAAGAGATGGGCCAGAAAGCACATGTGCATGCCCTTCATTGGTGTCTTATCCTTTCGGTATAAAGATACAAGTCCTAGGACCTTCCTCTGAAATTTTTTGAGCACAAGGCTATTCCCCAAAAACGATGATCCAGGTACTCACCTTCTGGATACATACTACTTCAACTTAGTACGGGAAATAGCTGGAATTCTGTCTAGACCTACCCTACAGTAGATGTCACTAGGAGTTCTGCAGAACACACTGAGTAGGATGACAGGCCCTGCATCCCATCTGTGCTGAGGGGATCAGGGATAGTCACATATGATTTGGCCAGTACTGCTGTTGCCTTAGACATGTGACTGTAGTTGTTGCAGAGATCACCAGGGAGCAATATCAAGATGCACATCCAGCACTCAGAAAATTGTTTTTCTGTGAACTGATCTTTTCTTGGAGACTGGTTTCTATGTCTGTCCCTACTAATTTGGAGCTCAGACCTAGATTTTTCTCTAGTCTACTGACAGCTTCCTGTGTCTGAGAATGTCTTTCCACCTGGGATGCCTGAAAAAGTTCTTTCTTCTGGCATCACTCATAGGAAAAGATGAGATTACCTAGACAAAGGGCAAAGGTTACCCAGGAAGACCAGAGAGGGCATGAACTCACACAACACACATATCAGCCCACACATAATGCTGGAAGATTGCTTTGAAACCCTATGTAAGAAAAGGAAACCACAGTTCTTTCCAGTACACATGAGTAACCTCTTCCAAACACTGAGGACATAAAACTCTCCACCCAACTGCTCCTGGACCTCTTTTCTGTATAAGGAATTTAACTTGTGACATTAGTGAAAAAAGATTGATCTTCATCACTAGTCATCAGTCAGCTGTTACTTTCTATCCCTCATACACATCTCTGTCACCTTTTTGCTGGGAATAAAGAAACACCACTTTGCCATAACAGAGGAATCACAGGACAGACAGGATGCTCACCTAGATCTTTGTGTCCCTGTAGCAGTCTGTCTTTGATGCTGACAGAACCAAAGGCCAGGACAACACAGATGTCTGCCCTGGGATGAGTCACTGTTCTCTAAGGCTATGGTGGTGCTTATCAGCCTTGTTGATCAAGGTGTTCCTTGGAGGAGAAATATAAAGGGAAGTTGAGAGGGATGCCAGGCAGGACTCAGAGTGCAAGGGTCAGAGCAGTGCCGTGGACATAGACACCACCACAAACAGCACATTATATTCTGGAAGGGCTCCTGCCTGAGAAGACACTCAGCAACAAGGAGAAAGGACAACAGAGGCTAGTGCTGTGTGGGTTAAGCTCTTATCCTCAGAGGCAAGACATCACAGTGAAAATAGAGATGCAAGTGTCCTCTGTACTTCTCTGCCAGGGCTGTGCCTCATGGCAGGGGTTTCTGCTCACAGGTAAGGGTGCCTGCTAACTTTGACTGTAGGGGTGGAGAAGAACTCAGAGATATGCTAGAGTCTAAGGAGGAAAGAAGCCCAAAATGAGACTCAAGGATGCTGTGTCCCTTCATGAGGCAGAAGGTACAGTGAGGGACATAGGCTCATCAGGTAGAAGCTCATCACAGACAGGAGGTGCTGAGAATAGGAGAAGAGCCTCAAATGTTCCATATTCACAGTCAATTACATTGGCTTTCAAAGTTTGGATTACTACTGTCCCAAATCATGTCAGGGTTACTCTCCAAATAGAAACCAAATTGGGGGAGGGAGTGGTGAGAAGGCTCAATGTGCAAAGATATCCAAGCTGAATTCAACCTTTAGCTGCCACATGGTAAATGAAGAGAAGACACTTCTGCTGCCTCTTTGCTCTCATCACAGATGTCATGGCATGCACAGGTACATGCTGACACTTGAGATATGTGCCTCCACACAGATTTTCAGCCTATACCTTCACACAGGCACACTGAGAAATCTGCCTTCAGAAATACACATATACAATACATAAGCAAATGTAAAAGCACTTAAGTTTCACTTGAGTATAGTTACTGTCATTAGCTCCAAACCTGGGAACTATGTAGATAAACAGGGAGCCACACTTAGTTCCTTCCTTGCTTGCTTGCTTGCTTGCTTGCTTGCTTGCTTACTTACTTGCTTGGTTGATTCCTTCCTTCCTTCCTTCCTTCCTTCCTTCCTTCCTTCCTTCCTTCCTCCCTTCCTTCCTTCCTCCCTTCCTTTGCCTTTCTTTACCGAATCCACTGGTGTTTGAGTCTTTTCCAGGAACTGAAGTTTCCAAATGATAGATTAATCCCTGTTCTCAGAAAACTCTAGTTTTAGTTGACCAAAAGTTAGAATGTCTGGAAGATGATGTAAGGGCTTTACTTGTTGCACAAAGGAAACAGAGAACAAAATTCAGAATGTTAGGACACTCTAGAAGAGGAAGTCAGAGAGGCATCCTCCATGAAATATGGGAATGCTACATAGGGAGTCAGGCAGACAACTGAGCAGAGAATTGCATAGAGAGTTGAAAACACAGTGAGAGACTCTGAGGGAATGGAGGTGATGTTGCTCACCTCCACTAAGAACGGTCTACACACCCCTTCCCAACACCTAAGCCAGGTGATGGTCACACCTGCTCAGCATTGATTGTTTCTCTCTCTTTCACCTTTAGCCTCCCTTTTAACCTGCTGGCACCTGTCTACCACTTCCCAAGTCACCATTGAATTAGTGCCACCCCAAGTGGTTGAAGGAGAAGATGTCCTATTCCTTGTCCACAAACTGCCAGAAAATCTTTCGGTCTTAGTCTGGTTCAAAGGGTTGACAGTTGCAAAACATGCAATTGCACTGTATGCAACAGACATAAGAGAAATTGTGAAGGGGCTCATGTACAGTGATAGAAAGACCTTGTACAGAAACGGGTCCCTGTTGATCCACAATGTCACCCAGAAGGACACAGGATACTACACCCTACAAACCTTAAATAGAAATGGAACTATTGTGTCAAAATCATTCTTTCTCCATGTGAACGGTAAGTGATTCTTTGTAAACTCTGGGTACTGGGTGGTAGTCATTCCACTAAACATTCAGAAAGTGTCTGGCCTGGCCTATATTTTCCTCTAGTCTACACTGTGCCCCATGTTGAGTTTTGAGTACTTAATTCGGGACACAACAACAATAGATCAGAATCTTTCATTTGATTTCAGCTTGTAGAAAATAAATACATGCTGTATAACTGAGCCAAAAATACCAGACTCTGTCTAGACTCTTGGAGTTCTTAAGAGGAACGTATCCTTGAGAAAGACCTTGAGGGAATCAGGGTTGGGAATGATTGAGGAAAAGTGCTATCCTCACAGAAGTGAGCACCAGGAAGCCCTAGCTCAAGACTCCTGTCCCAGATTCAATTTCTAATGGCCCTGAGAAGCATTTTACAAAGGTTGAGTTTTGACTTTCTGTTGGCAGGGAACAGTGCTTTTTAGTAGTCAAAGTCTTCGACTTTGTCATACACAAAGCTTGTACACTGCCATGAGAGCTACCATGTGGTTAGGTCCCCTGGACATTTTCTCCACTGACACAGCAGGGAGAGCAAAGCTGGATAGGTGCTATTAACTAACTATTAATTAACTGTCCTAATGGGCTTATAAGACTTGCATGCAAGTAATGGTCTCTAAAAATAGGGAGAGAAGACACAGTTCCTCCTGAGAAGGATTTTTCTCTGAGATCCAACTCAAGAAATTCTCTTCTGCAGGCAAATGTGAACAGTTCCTCAAATGTAAGCTGGAGTTTCCCGAGTTGTCAGCAGGGAATATCATCAGAACACACAGTCAACACTCAAAAAATTATTTGGCTGAACCAGGAATTCATCTAGCCACCAGGTTCCATCCATAGTTCTATCAACATGGAAACCACAAACATGGAGTTCTTAGACCTACCATCTGCTTAATTTGTCTGCTACACTGCCAAAGGATATTGTTCCATTATCCTTTGATGTATTTCTTTTGGAAAATACATGATAGGCAAGGAGAATCCATTAGACAGAGAGCCAAGGCATCTCAGAAACACCAGGGAGTTCATGGGCAGATCCATTATACAATTCAGCAAGTAGATGGATTGGAAGCATTTTCTTGAAATCTTGCACAGGATGAAGGAGCTCAGCCTTTTTCCAGGAATCAGGTCACCTCCACCTGCAGACCAAGGGTATGAGATTCTGATACATCCTGGGCCTTTGTCCTGGGATATAATCCTAACTGGTGACCCCTGTGAGAATACATGTGTCTCCTTTCCCACACATTCTTCACGAGGTCCATTTGGAACCTCACAGACATTCCTGTCAAATTCCACCTTTCCGGTATATTGATAACATGGGGAAGACTGAGTGCATAGCTAAGTTACTGTGTGACACACTTGTGCATAGTTTGCCTTCGTAACACTAACTGACTAAGGCCAAGACAGAGCAGAGATCAACCCTAGGGTCATTTTCTATTATCTCAGGTCAGAGGGATTGTCATCAGTCTGGGTGCTTGCTCTGTGTTCCAGAGAATGGAAACAAAAGGAAGGTAGAGAGACATGGCACTGCACTGAGAGTGGAAGGGACAGAACAGTGTTTTTATAGAGCAACACACTCAGGCTATGTGGTTCGTGGAGATGATCCTACTTGAGGGGAGGTTCAGCTCAGAGTGGAAGCACAAGAGAACTGGGGAATTGTGCTGGAGCAGACACGCCACAGAAGGATAGATCAGGTCTCAAAGACAAGGGCAGAATCTTTTGTACCCTCTGCAAAAGGTGAACACCTGTCAGGGGCTCATACATACAGCTGAGGACTCAACTCTTTATAAAGTGTGAGAGGAGAAGACTCACCTACTGTCTGGAGTCTCCTAAGAGGAACGTAAACCTGAAATGAGTCTCGGAGTTTATAGGGCATGACAGAGGCTCAGTGGCAGCAGGAGGCTCCTGATGAATAAAAAGTAAGTTGATGGGGAAAATGTTTTTGCCCAATGTTAGTCAGCATAACCACAGTATTGTGAAGACTGGTGTCCTCAGCTAGGACATCCCAAATAAGAAACCAAGGTGGTGTTGTTCAGTGACATGATTGAATGAATATATGCATTTGCTCCATATTTTGAAAAGCTGATACCAATGAACAGAAGTTTTCTGACATCCACATATTGTATCCTGCACTCACCCACCCACCTACACTTCACCTTATATATGTTCAAAGTCACAAACAAATATAATTTGTAAGTAAGTGTAAAGAAAAATCAAAGCAAGTGGAATGATCCATTATCGTGTCCCCAAACCTAGGATTTTCACAGGAAAATCCATTGACATACAAAGTTCTACAACATCATTCATTCATCCATTCATTCATTCTCCACATATTTCTGAGTTTTTTTTTAAATAGCATTTTTCAATATAAAAAAATCATGGTTCTTATGATGCCCAGTCCTAGTGAACTGAAACATAGATCAGTAAAGAAAGTAAAGGTGACATCAGGTGTTGGCTGGAACTACAAGAAAAACAGAACAACAAGTCAGAGAGTCAAGACACGTGGTCTATAGAGGAAGAGACTAGGAGGTATCACCCCAACACCAAACTACATTGATGGAGCAGAGATCTGAGGGCAGTGAGCCAGGGCCATGTTGACAGCTGAAGAGAGCGCAACAAACAATGAAAAATAAAAGTGCAGCCACACAGATTTGGATGGAAAGAGAGACAGATAGGGTGAGTAATGAACACAGCTATGCAGGACAGTGTCTCACTTGACCAAAATACAAAGGTCTCAAATAATTTGATCTCTCTCTTCACTTCTAGCCTTCCTTTGGAACTGTGGGCGCCTTGCTGCCTCTGCACAACCCAGTATTGAATCACTGCCACCGATTGTTCCTGATGGGAAAGATGTCATTCTACAAGTTCGCAATCTCCCAGAGAATCTTCTAGGCTTTGGATGGTTCAAAGGGATGACCCAGATCAGGAGTCATCTGATTGGCCGATACATAATAGATGAAAACCCAGGTTTTTCTTTTGGGCCTGCATACAGTGGTAAAGAGAAATTGTATACTGACGGATCCCTGCTGATCGAAAATGTCACTGAGAAGGATGCTGGACTGTACACCCTAGGAATTCTGAGTACAGATATGAAGAGTGAAGAAGCACATGTAGAAATCCAGGTGGAGAGTAAGTGATTTCCTGAAATCACTCTCCTGTAACCGTTTAGTACTGGGTGGGGCTTAGACACACAGGACTGTCATGCCTGGCCTTTGCCTCCCTCCTCTCTATACCATGTCCCCATGGGAAGATTAGAGCACTTAGTGCCAGACATACATGGAGAGACAAATGGCGATAGATTAGACTCCATCTTTTGACTCAACCTGCATGAAGAGACACCTTGATGGTAACTCAGCCTAAGATGTCAGGTTCTGCCCAGTCTCCTGGGGCTCTAAACCCGGGACCCCAAGCAATGCCATCTTTCAAAGGCTGGACTAAAGCAACCAAGGGAAACGTATTTCCAGTTCTCCACTCTTATTTCCTTTTAAAGTTGATAGGGAACAATGGTTTTTTGGTTGGTTGGTTGGTTGGTTGGTTGGTTGGTTGGTTGCTTTTGGTTTTTTGCTGTCCATGTCAAGTTGTGATATTTATTAACTCCAAATTGAGATTATCATAAATAAAATCCAGGAACTGGTGCAGAGACCATGGAAAATTTGGTTTACTGGCTTGCTTATCATGGCTTGCTCAACCTGCGCTCTTCTATCACCTAGAGACCCTAGTCGTGGGATGGAACTGTTTCCAGTGGTGTAGATCCTCCCATATCAATCTTCAATTTAAAAATTATACTACTGGCTTGTCAGTTGGCCAATGTGTTGGTAGTGTTTTCAAGCCTTGACTTTCAAAAGAACTTTGCATTGTGTCAAGTTGACATAAACCATCCAACCTAATACTACAGCCTCTTCCAAGATCCTTAGGCTAGCCTGATTGTTCCTGGACCTTAAACAACCCTACCCCTGTGAGCTACTAGGAAAAGCAGCAAGAACACCTAAAAGGTAAAGATAGGAATTAACTGGAGATACAAGAGAAACTAAGAAAACAAAACAAACAAACAAACAAACAAACAGAAAGTAAAACTCTGGGACCTGTAGAATTCAGAAGAGGCATCACCTCAAACCCCAGCATGTATGAGTGTGTGTAGTGCCTGACTGCAGAAAGGAAGCAGCCATACACACCCAAGGAGAACCTCCATGGAGAGGAAGCAATGTTCAGGAGCTAATGAGGGAATGTAGATCATGTTGCTAACCTTCTTTAAGTGGGATAAATACATTCTCACCTGCCTCTCTAACCTAAGTCAATAATTCATCTGCTCAGGATTAAGGTCACCATCTTTACATTAAGTGCTGTGACCTACATATGATTACTTTTTCTCTTTTCCCTTCCAGGTCTTGTTTTTCAGTGCTGTAACTCTCTGACTACTGCCAAATTCATGGTAGAACCTGTGCCACAGTATGCTTCTGAAGGAGAAAGTATTCTTCTTCTCGTTCATTATCTGCCAGAAGAGGTGATATCCTTCTCCTGGTACTACTCAACGTATACAGTCCCAACCTTTAAAATTGTAGACCACCATGTAATCTGGAATATCACCACCTGGAGTGATGCATACAGAGAAAGAGGGATGGTGTATGCCAGTGGATCCCTACTGCTCCTGGACGTCACTGAAGAAGATGCAAGAATGTACACACTAGAAACTTTAAACATAGATAACAAGGTTGAAAGAGCACATGTGCAGTTTTATGTAGACAGTAAGTGACTTTCAATGGCCTCTGGCTGCTGGGTATGACTTATTCTACTTCATACACTGGATAGGCAGGGTTGGATTATGCCTATTCTCTCTCCTACTGCATTGTGTCTCCATACTGGGGTTTGGGCACTTCCTGTAGGACACACACTGGGTAGACAAACTGCAGATTCAGAATCATAATACCTCACTAGTCTCTACCTCCACAGAGAAGAACATGTGTGGGATAATTCAGCATGAGGACATTAGCCTCAGTGCAGACTCTTGGGCTTCTCACCATGCACAAAGCCCCAAGAGAGACCTTGGGAGAATCAGCCAGGCACTGGATGGGAAGCACAGTGGATGAATCAGGATCATACAGGCCATTGGTGTCTGATCAAAAGCACAAGATATGTCTATAGTCACAGCTCTAACTTCTCCCCTTGGAGGCTTTTTAAAGTATGCACTAAAGAGGGAATGCTGGAGCTCTCCGAAGGACTATTGTCATCTTGTCCCCTTCTGTTTTTTTTCACAGAGCCTGTGACAGAGCCCTTCATTCGAATAACTGACACCACAGTCAAAGCAAACAGATCTGTGACATTCTCCTGTGTTTCACCGGACACCAGAATTTCCATCCGTTGGTTCTTCAATAACCACAATCTGCAGCTCACAGATAGGATAAAGCTGTCTCCATCAAAGTGTGGACTCAGAATAGATAATGTTAGAAGTGAGGATGCTGGAGAATACCGGTGTGTGGTCATCAACAGAGCTGGTAAAGGAGTGGGCAGTCAGCCAGTCAGGTGGCCATGATGAATGAGCAACCCCCCCTCTCATCCTATGTTTTATTGAAGGGATAAAACATAGAGCAAATTTATGTGGTGATAATGATCAGTTACTACTTAGGTTCAGCCATTATGGTGAGACATGCCTGTGATCCTGGGATACACGTGTGTATAAGAACAAGGCAGGAATTAAAGTGAGACTCTGTCTCTAAAGAAAACAAAGACATCAATATAATAAGCAGAAGCACAAAGGCATCAAAAGCTTAGGTCATGGATGAAATATATAGCCAACCCTCAGAATGCATCCTTTATATGCTACCTGGACTGCCTGTTTGGGCCTCAGTGGGAAAGAACGTGCCTAGTCCTGCTTGGACTAGATATCCCGGGGTGGAATGGTAGCCGGGGGGGGGGCTGCTCTTCTCTAAGGAGAAGAGCACGGGCAATGGAGGGAGGGGATTGTATGGGTAGCTCTGGGAGAAGAGGAGGGAAGAGGACTGTAATAGGGATGCAAAGTGAATTTTTAAAAAAGACTCTTACTGATCTCAAACAGGCTTGCGTTCAATACAGGCGAAATATCCCTTTCCCCTGTCTCTCCTTCTATTTCTTCAGATGGTTTTATTCTCTCTGACTGAAGGATCTTAGCAAAGGCTTTTCTTATGGTGGTGAATATTTACTCTAGAAGACTATTCAAAAAGATATCAACACTAACCTATTAGAAATCAACAAAAATTATTTAGACTAACTTTGTGATACAACAGATGAATAATTTGGTAGCAAAACCTAGTCAGATACATTATCATAAGTTAGCTATGGAGGACCACGAGACTCAAGATGAGGTTGTTACTTTATACAGGGTGTTTTCAAAACCCATCTCCACCCCACCTAAAAGGGGGGACTTCTGCCCCTAGACCAAGCAGAGAAGGGCCACCCAGAACCCCCTCTGTCAGGTGATCTGAATTCTTGCTTAAGCTGCAAGGCTAAGCACTGCAAGGGAATATCAATAAAAGATAAAAATATCTATCTGGGTTCCCTGAGGGACAAGCCTGACTGCATAGGGGTTGATGTCAAAAGTATCCCCTCTCCAGGAAAAAGACATCGGGACAGATATGGCCCTCATGCCTCACTGGACAACAACAGAGGGACTAGAGCCATTACAAGGTCCCCTTCAAATACTGGAGGTCAGGCCTCTATCCCCGCCTTCGCAAGTTTAGAATTGCCACAGCCCTTCTATACTTAGAGAAGGGAGAAGATGTCAGGGGCAGCCTTGCTTAAACACTGAAGGCCTAAAATCAGCCTTAGGCCTAAAATCAGGAACAGGCCTGTCATACATGTATACTAACACCAAGTCTTGGGTCTCAGTGGAAAAACATTGAAACAGATGGCTATAAGCTAATGTAAACAGGCAGCTTTTATGGAAATTTACAAGCCTGAGTAGCCATAGACCTTGTAAATAGGTAGCCTTGGCAGACAATACCAACTTAGATAAGGACAAGCGAGTCATAGGCAGAGTCATAGTGAATTGTCCCCTGAACATTCACCCAGCCAATACCCAGTTCTGAAGATATCTGTATTCCCCCTGAACACCCACACTCCAGTGTCATTCCCTTCCCCACATCCTGCCTTTCTGTGTTTATAACCGCTGTGTGAATGAAGTACGATTTGAGAAAAAATAAATTTAAAAAAAAGAAATCAACAAAAAAATGTGCCCATAAGTTTTGAAATGCTAGAATGTCCTTATCAATAAGTAGTGTCTTGATTACAATGAATTTTTGTCATCTGCCTTGACCTGGTGTTTGAGTTTTTTAGATCTAAGTGGACCCCATAATGATAGGACTTAAAATTTTTTTAATAAAATATAAAAGCACACCTTCATATATTCATATACAAGAACATACCTTGCAAGAAATCAAGCATGGCAACATAAGAGTTACCCAGGGAATATTGGTTTTAAAGACACGAAGAGGTCATGGAGCAGGCTGAAGTCTAAAAGGCAAACTATGTATGCTGCCAAGGGTGGAGACAGAGGATTAACCTGAACCACAAAAGTTTATAAATGAATCCCAGATATGAAGCATTATATTGTTTACACTGCTGGAGCTTGGTTTTATCTTGAGTAGATTATGGTTGTGCCCTGTCTGTTCCCTCTTGAAATAAAAAATAGGTACTTTATTTTTAATATTGCTGGAGCTCATAGTTGGGAGCTTTTTAACCTCTTTAAGAGGAAATCATGTGGGTTTTTTTTTTCAAAAAAAACTTTAAATAAAAATACTGGGTAATTTTAACAATCCACATTTAAAAATATTTAAATTTATGACACTATGGGATATTTTAAATTTATGTTAGATATTTATTATAATGGCTTTATTGCTGTGTAACCTTAAAATTAAATAGAAAATTTAAAAAATTTAAAACAAAAAACAAAAACAAAAAAAATTTTAAAAAAGAAAAAGAAAATTAAAAAGCGGGGCAAAACCTATGCAGAGAAAACATTAAACAGTAGAAACTGTGATATTCCTTTTTAATTAATTATTTATTTATTCACGTTACATTCCAATATCAGACTCACTCTCCTTCCAGTGCCCCCATCACACCTCTAGCCTCTAAGGCTCCAGTTTCTTCTCATCTGAGAAGCAGAAACCCCATCTGGATATCAATACCCATTCACTGCACATCAGTCACTGCAGGACTAGGCACATTCTCTCTCACTGAGGCCAGGCAAAGTGGCCCAGTTGAGGAACAGGATCCACAGGCAGGCATTATACTCAGGGACAGCCCCTACTCAAGTTGTAGGGGAAACCACATGAAGACCAAGCTGCACATCTGCTACATATGTGTGAGAGCCTATGTCCAATCCATGCTGGCATTTGGTTGGTGGCTCAGTTCCTGGGCCAGTTGACCTGTTGGTCTTCCTCTGGAGTCTCTGTCAACTTTGGGTCTCTCAAACCTTCCCCTGATTCTGCCACACGACTCTCTCTGCTCCATCTAATGTTTGGCTTTATGTCTCTACATCTTTTTTCCATTGGTTGCTTGGTGGAGCATCTCAGAAGACAGTTATGCTAGGATCCTTTCTGCAAGCACAACAGAATATCATTAATAGTTCTTGCCCATGGAATGGGTCTCAATTATGGAAGTCATTGGTTGGTCATTCTCTCTGTCTCTACTCTATCTTTGTCTCTCCACATCTTGTATGCAAGGCACATTTTAGGTCCAAGATATGGAGGCCGGGTTGTTGTCCTTCTCCCTCTACTGGGACTCCTGCATAGCTACAGGAAATGGCCACTTTAGGATCATATCCCCCACTGCTTGGAGTCTCCTCTAAACTCACCCCACAGCCACCTTGGGGAATCTCCTGTCCTAGGTAGCTGCCACATCCTAGAGAAACCTCCCACTTAGGCCACCACCAATTTCTCTCTCACCCCTCTGCTCTTCATACACTTGATCTACCCTGCCACACTCCATTCTCCCTCCCCTCTCCTACCCAGTTCACTCTGTCAATCTACCTCCAATATCTATTTTATTTCTCCTGAGAAAGACTAAACCAGTCTCCCTTGGGACCTCCTTCGCATTAGGGTTCTTAGAGACACTAGATGCTTATCCAGTACTCTATGACTAATATCCACTTATAAATGCATACAATGCATGTCTTTTGAGGTCTGTATTACCTCATTCAAGATGATATTTTCTTGTTAAATCCATTTGCCTACAAAATTGATGGTGTCCTTGTGTTTAATACCTGAGTAGTATTCCATTGTGTAAATGAACCACAATTTCTTTATTCTTCAGTTGAAAGACTTCTAAGTTGTTTCTAGTTTTGGGATAAACTAGAATAAAATGAATAAAATAAAATAGAATAAATGAATAAAGCTGCTGTGAGGATAGTTGATACAGGAGAAAAACCAAGAGGGCCAGGAGAATGAATGGAATTATGAAGTTCCGAAGGATTAGGGTGGGGGATACTCTAGAAAGTCCTAGAAGTTTGGGATGTGATAGGCTCCCATAACTCAGTGTGAGTAACCTTAACTGAAATGACCAAGAGTGAGGAGATGGAACCTGGAGATACCACCTCGGGTAGGCAGATAGGGCCCTCAGTGGAGGAATGAGGACACCAACCCACCTTAAAATTTTTGACCTAGAATTGTTCCTCTCCAAAAGAAATACAGGGACAAAACTGGAACAGAGACTGAAGGAATTGCCACCCAGGGATCTGCCCAACTTGGGATCAATCCCATGGGCAGGTACCAAACCCTTGACACTATTACTGATTCAATGTTGTACTTGAAGACAGGAGACTAGTATGCCTGTCCTCTGAGAGACACCTGACTGAGACAGATGCAGATACTTACAGTCAACCATTGGACTGAAGTTGGGGACCCCTATGGAAGAGTTGGAGGAAAGATTGTAGGAACTCATGGGAATAACAATAGTGTCAACTAACCTGAACCCCTGGGAGCTTCCAGAGACTAAGCCACCAACCAGAGAGCATATATGAGATCCAGGCCCTCGGCACATATGTAACAGAGGACTGCCTTGTCTGGACTCAGTGGGAGAGGATACACCTAATCCTATAGAGCCTTGATGCCCTAGAGATGAGGGTTCCCAGGGGGTCCAGCCTCTCAGAGGAAAAGGGGAAAAGGAATGGGGAGAAGTGTGGGACTATAAAATCCTGGGTGTTCGGTCACGCCCCCAAAACCCAGAGACCTAACATAGAGCCCTCCCTAGGTCATGAGGCTAACAGGTCTCTGCCTTAAAATTTACATATTACCCAAAGCCCCGCCTGCTTCCAATATAAAAACAAACACCTTCCAACATGTTTCGGGGAGAGCTCTTTACCATTCACCATCCAACACCCCCCCCACCCCATCTGTTAATAAATCTGGATGTGTTTATCTCCACATGTCTCTTGTGATCCGGACTCCTCATGTAAGTCAAGATTCCCACCCGCGCCCCTGTCAACTCGGGGCGGGGAGGGACTCTATAGAGCCGCAGGTCCTGAGACAGCCTTGGAGCCGGCGCCCAGGACATCCCCGC